GACTATTCAAGTGAACTTTTAATCAATCAAGTGTATCTACTATTTTATTATTCAGCTATTTTGTTATTTTACTATTTATTTTATATATCAATAATCACCATAATCATATTAAAAAAAATTATTGATAAACCTCATACAAATGAAGATAGGTTAAGAGATTCCTGACAATAGACCTAAAAATGGATAAACCAGTTTAGTCCAATTTTTGAGAAAATCAATATTATCTAAATGTTATCCATGATCTTGTCAAAATAATCTAAAAATAGTTTAATTTTAGCGTGACCAAATCAATAGTCACAAGTTGTACCTCAAAAATAGATGCCTCCCTTCAGTTTTTTAAAATAATACAAATTAATCAAATAATCCCTCTGTCCCAATATATATGATTTTCTAGATAAAAATACGAAATTTAAGAAAGATATAAATTTTAGTTTTTGTTTTGTCTTTTTACATTAAAATCATTATTTAATATCTAATTACAAATAAATTAACCAATAAAAATAAATAATGTATAATATAAATGACCACAACACATTAAATTTTATATAGAAACTAGAGAAAATCAAATAAATGGGATAAAAAATAAGTCCAGAACATCTTATAAAATGAGACAGAGGGAGAATTATTTATTCATTTATATGTATGGATATTTGAACGAATGTTAAAGAAATTTTATTTTTATTTATGATAACTAGCAATTAAGACTACGTACATTGTTAAATTGTTATTTTTTGTAGAATCAGGATTTTCGTACATAAACTTTGTACACTTCTATTTTTTTTTCTTTTTTCTCTAACTAAAAACGAAAAAAAAAATCAATTTTGATTTTCGGGAATAAAAATAATATTTGTGTTAAATTGGTCAAATCATAAGCGAGAAAAATGGAAACATAAATTTAACCAATTCTCATTTTCCAAGAATGCAAGTTGTGAATCTTTCATGTATAAATACCCCGTACACAGTCACTCACACCGATTCGATTTTCCCTTCTTCACTCCTCTCTATTAGG